TGTGGCTAAGTAAATGTTTGTGGACCACCCAGTGTTTGAAGTGTGCTGCGCTGGACGCCAGGAGCACAAAGCTGAAGAGTGCTTCGTCTGTGCTGCCTGGAACTCACTGTTTAGTGGCGGAGAGGGACGGATCGGTGGGGTGGTAGACAGCGGAAAAGTTTCCTTGAGAAGGTGACATCGAATCTGGTCAAATTGGCTGCAGGAGGGAATTAAGGACTTTCCAGGCAGATGTGTGGTCAAAGTATTAGCGCTGTGGGAGTAGATCACTGTGATAGGAATCTATTTAAAAAATATTGGGGGCACTAGTGGGTGGAAAGCGGTGCATCATTGACCTGCCCAATGCTAGTTAAGCATTCAATGGAAATATTACACTTGGTAGCCAAAGTATCTCTTTTTAAGAAGGAAACCCTGGTCTCCGAAACAGCTCATCCCACCAAGCACTCCGAAGCCGTTACCACCACCAGTTGTACCTAACAGGAAAAATGGCATTATCAACATACACTCAGTTCACCAGGGCCGCAACTCACAATCCCATCGCTATGCTCCATTCATTTTACCACTTAAATATCCGTCCACTCTGTCTCTACTGCTACCTCCCTTGACCCAGGTTTCACCATGTCTCACCCGGATTTCTGGCAGCTGGTCTGGGCATTCATTCTTGCTCTAATTTGTTTCCTATGCCTTAGTCGAGTAAACTTTTGAAAACAAATCATATTATTGCTCCTGCTTTAATACCATCCATAGTTTCTCATTGTTCTTAGGATGAAGTTCAAACTCCTTAACATAGTATTAAGTCCCTGCTTACTTCACTCGCTTGGCCTTGTACAATCTCCCCCCTCTTTTTTAAGCTCCTTGCATAGGAACCTTACCTTATCTCCAGGCCTTTATACACATTCTTTGTATGGTACTTCTTTTTCTGTTTCTACTCACCCTTCAAGGCTTTTAACATTTTATTTACTAGTAAGCCTTCCAATGCCCCTCCCAACCCCCAAACTGGGTCAATCCCCTATGGTGGCTATGGTAGCCTTTACTTTCTTACAGCATTTTGAATTTGTAATGGCAAAAGGAATTATGTAATAAGTTGTTTATTGTTTCCCCATTAGCTGGTATATAGTTGGTGCTCAGTTCATTTTTGTTGACTAAATGAAGAATAGGTACTTTGCACGTGTGTTAAAGCAAACTAAAAAGTGACCTGATTTTCTTTAAGAGGAAAGATTAAAGTCAATACCGTAGAAATATTGGGGTTTGCTATGGTAAGTACCACAAACATCCTAGGTCTTAAGATGAGGAAATTTTGTAAAAGATAAATCTGCCAGTTCTTAAAGAGGGGGAGCTTTCTAAAAGATGTAGGATAGTGCTGTTCATACCATAATGTTCTCAACCAGCTGGCTTCAAGTTCTAAGCACTAACCTACTGATATTTCCATAAAGGAATTTTCTTCATAGAAGCCAAGTACTTGCACATAATGTACACCACTAGAGGGTGCATTTAACTAAAATTTGTCTTTCTGTGTTGTGCTAAACTGTAAAAGGTCATTCATTCCTGGAAGTGAAGGGACATGATCTCAATTTGTTTTTGTGGAATAACATCAAGTAAAGATTAGTAGTTGACTAAATAAGTCATAGAAATTCTTTGCGAATCAGAAGAAAATACTGTTACAACTAATAATAGCTAATTTTGAACATTTTGTGGGTACCTCGCACTGTGTGCTGAATGCTTTGCATTCATTAACTAACTAATCTATCCAATTTCCTGAGAGGTAGGTACTGTTATTTTCTCCATTTTACAATGAGGAAACAAGCTTAAAGAGTTGAAGTAACTTATCTGAGGTTACACATCTCGTAGGAGGCAGAGTCAGGATTTGAATCAAGATCTCAGAACAGGTGTGGGCTCTACTACCTTGAAATGATACTACAGGGGATTGTTTGCCTTCTTGAACCCACTTTAAAAGGGACTTTACTAAGTTATCCTTGAACATGTGAGACTTTATTTTTTTAGAATGTATTCACTTTTGCAGTTAAAAAGATTATTTTTTATTAAATATTTCCATTCAGATGTCATTGAAATACTATAAATCTATTTCATAACTGTAAAAAACAATTTCATAACAATATTATCTACAGGGTAAATGTTTAGTGAGGAACTAAAGTTTTAGTGATGAAGGGCTGAGGTACCTTATTTTTAGAAAATTATTAAGTGTATTACACATACAGAAAAGGATATAAAATATGAAGTAATAATAAAACAAATGTTAACATAAACATTACCCAGTTTAAGAAGCTGACGAATGCCAGATATTGTTTAGATTTATTAATGTACATTTTGTGTGTGTGTGGGCAATACATTTTTATGTTTTAAACAAAAATAGTTTGTTATTATGATATTTCTACAAACCATCTCTTATTCTGATAACTGTAAATTCCGACAAAATAATAACTGCTACCTGAGGAGTCTGAAGAGTAATAAAAGCACACTTGAGGAAAGGAGTCAGTAAACGAAGTGTCAGAGAAGCGATTACCACAGGACACACTGCCAGTGACAGTTTTATTACCTGTCATGCACATAGAGATGGCTTTATATTTTTATTCTTTCATTTGTATTGTTGGTTTTCTCAGTAACAAAATTATAAGCAGTGCAGGCATACTTCAGTTTATTGTGCTTCACAGGTATTGTGTTTTTTACAAACCGAAGGCAAGACCCTTCACCAGCAAAAAGATTACGACTTGCTTTATTGCAATACTTCCTTTATTATGGTGGTCTGAAATTGTATCCACAATATCTTTGAGGTTTGCCTGTATTACTTTATTTCAGGAGTGAAAGAAAATGGTATCCAAAGTGTCTAACAGGAGAATCCTATTAGTGGAAGTTGCTTGAGGTTGCTAAGCAGTAAGAAATAGGAATAATATGAAGTTTGTGTTCTCTCCTGGAAAAGCTTGAATATTTTTCATATTCTTCTTAAACATGAGAAACAATAGCATTGGAAATATCAATCATAAAAATCAGTGGCCCCTAACTTTTTTGGCACCAGGGACCAGTGCTCTGATGAGAATCTAATGCCTGATGATCTGAGGAGAATCTAATCCCTGCTGGGGAGCGGCTATAAATATAGATGAAGCTTCTCTTGCTCGCCTGCCACTCACTTTCTGCTCTGCAGCCTCGTTCCTAATAGGCCATGGAGTGGTACCAGTTTGCGGCCCCAGGGGTTGGGGACTCCTGACAAAAATGATGTGGCCTTCTTACTCTCATCTCACCCACTTCTGATTTGTCTCGTAAATTCAAGTTTCTAATCATGCTTTTTAGTGGTTAGAGTGTCAAGTGCTTCAAATGAGTACCTATACCTAAATTACATGTAAGTGGTAAGATTTGCAAGCTTTCTTCTCTGAAATGAGTACTTCCTTCCCTCCTCCTTATGTCTGAGGAAATGCTATCTGATATGGGCCTTATATTGTCTCTTCAAAGGGAATAATGGGAAGTCTGTAGTTACAAATAGAATTTTGTAAAATAGAATAGGTGAGGAAAAAGCATTTTCTGATATCTACTATTTGCCAGTACCTTGTTAAATGCTAGCTGTATAAAAATGACAGAGTCCTTGCCTTTAAGCAACCAGCCAACAGCCTGTGAGGATGAGACATGCAGACTGGTAAACAACTAGTAAGGTACTAAGTAAAGGAATTACAGCGATAGTACAAATTACAGATAAACTCATTTCTTCTGGGAG